AGATTGAGTGTGTAAGGATAGAGGCTGTTGGTGCTGTTTGTGTGCATGTGGCTCCTGTTCATGTATGTGGTAGGTCTGTGTTTGTTCCTACAGGAATACTCACTCAGTCTGGCTAGTGACTGCACCTGGGACTGTGCAGCTACAGCAATCTTGCTTCTATCAAGCTACCAAATTTGCCTCTTCCCACAACAGAATGGAATATGGATACTGACTTAGAGGTCAGAAGAAAGTGAATTAAAGATTATTGAAATTTTGACTCTCTGCCATGCAAGAAGTTTGGAAAACAGCTCCTAGGCCAGGAAATCTGAATGCTCCTGCAACAACCTAAGACCCAAACCAAATAATAAAATTATAACCGACAAATGTGAGAAAATAAAGACATCCTTAAAAAAATAATAATATACCAACCACAAAAGCTGTATCTAATCCCAAATACTACTGAATGGTCCCCTTTGCCACATCTTTAGTGTTGACAGTTCTATATTTAAAGCTCTTGAAGCTTATTTCTGATATGATTGGTGTAACTCTTACCTCTTCTACAGATAGAACTGAGTTGAGGCACAGAATGATTATTTTAATAGACAAGTGACTCAAAAGCAACTGTATAATGTCAGAGAACTGTACCCATATTTGTGCAGTGGCAAAAGTTAATTTCTTCTAATACATGAGCAGCACTAGCAAGCTTGTAATTTTTGGCTAAATTGCAGCATGTCTTTCATGAGCAAAACTAATCTCTCACTGAAGAACCAGAGAGAAAATCAGTTTTGCCTTGGACCAGCAGTGATAAATACCTTTTTTTTCTGAAGATTTGTTCACACTGTTTTTCATTCCTCTCATTTCCAACCAGTAAGCAGGCCTGCGAATGGTCCGCTTGCTCCTAGGCTCTGCACTCCCATTCACTGGGCTCTTCGGGGAGGCAGAGGAAATATTGGTGACTGTTTCCTCAGAGTCACTGTTCACTCCTACAACAGCAGCTTCCACCTCCTCAAGTTGCTTAGACCTGGAAAACATCAAGTCCTGTGTGTATAGATGCATACTTGTATATGGATGCATATACACACAGCCACAATAAACTTGACAAACAACATCCTTCTCATCTTCCCAAGTGTTATAAAATGAATATCACAGTTCACTGAATCACCTGAGGTTTGGGAACTGTAAAGTGCCAGCAAGATCAAATGTCCTCAGTGCTGTTTTCTAGTACATCTTTTTGATAATGACAATTAATGAGATCACAGGAGGAACAGGAAAAATATTCCTCCTACCTAAAACTTTCAACTTTAGAAGCAGGAGCAAGTGAATCTTAATTTAAAAATATGCATTTATCCTTGCAATATAAGAATGTTTCTGCAGCTCATCATTACAAAAGAGACATTTTCCATCCCACAAAGGGCAAATTTCCTTCAGTCTCTACTCCCAGAATCAGGGCTGGCACTACGCAATTAAAGATTGCATGCCAGTAAGAATTTTAACTAGCAAGGCTTTCAGCAATGAAGACAACCTTCCAATATATCCTACAAATCACTCTACATTAAGACTACTTCAGGCTAATCAGCAGCACTGAATTTTTTTCCTAAAGATCAGAGGGAATTTTGCTTCACTGTTCCAAAGTATTTCTCTCAGGCATCTACATTCCGGTACATGAGAGCAAACTGAATGAGGTGTCAAAGAAACACAGAGTATACATTCTCTGGGCAAATACCATTTATTCAAAAAGGAAAGAAAGGGAATATAAACATTTTGCAATGTATCCCATTGCTACTACAATTAACAACTGAATTAAGTAGATCACTCGAGTGATGACTGTGTTGGCCATTCTGTCAATACTCTGAGCTGTGGAGCTCACCTTTAATACATCAACCCAGGAATTAATAAGGGGGGACACTGATGGCACCAGGTCAGGTCATGCAGAAGTATGGGGAGAAGATTTCTCAAACTGAAGTCTGTAAGTTGCAATCACACCCAGACTACATATATTTCGGAGTACCATTTGTCTTGGACTTAAAATATTTTATCTTCACAAAGCTAAAATCCTTTTAAAAAATAAATGAAAGCTAATACACATTGAAGTGTCAGAAAAACACTTTTCCTACAAACCAGTAGGTGAAGTCAGCTGAGACTCTCAACACATTAATTAAAATTGTTGCAGCTCTTAAAATTCAGAATATTCTCAGCTTTTTTCTTGCCTTCAATCAAACCAGACAAGAAACATTCACATACTTTTTATTTCCCAAGGACTTCCTGTGCTTCTGCTGTCTGTGATGTCCAGTCCTGGTGTCCTAACAAGGCAGAAAAATTCACATTAGCAGCATCATTTGTTTTCTTTTAGCATGTTTTACTATGCAGCGAAGCATAATCACATGCACTTTGAGGATGTGCATACACCACCCTCTGAAAAATAAATCACTGCTTTCTGAAACTAGAAGTGCTTAACCTTTCCAACTACAGCTGAAGTGGACTGGAATCAAACCAGGGATGAGCTCCTCCACACTCCCCATATGAAAGCCAATCTTTCCCCTACAATGGGACGTGATGGAGTGCTCTTTGTCTCCAGTACATTCACCCATATGTTTTCTGCCTATATTTTATCACCTGATGACAAATATTTTAGATTCTAATTTGCTAGCTTTTACACAGTACTTAGTTTTCGTTAATGAAGTATTTCTTCCATTTACCCTGCCAAGAATGTTATCTCTAGTCTCCTTCATGCTCTCCTTTTTATCTCGCTTTATCATACCCCATCAGCTGCCCAGATGTTCACTTTATCCACATCACAGAATCCTTTTTCTTACTTAACAAAGATTTTTTTTGTCACTTATCACTTGCTGTGCTCCTATTGAGACAATTTAACACATCTTCGTAAAAGTATGTGTACAAATCAGTTGAATAACTCATTTGTTGTAGGTTGCTCCTAGTGCGTGGACAATCACATACCACCACCATCTTCCAAATGCTAATCATGAATGAATGCCATTCTTCATTAGAAAGCTCAGGATAAAAACAGTAATTATACAGACTAGAAAATAAAAATCACTGCCCAGCAGAAGTATAAAGAATACCAAAACTGTAACGTAGGGAACAAAAGCAGTATTTTGCCATAAACAGGAAATGGCTAAGAAACTGGAAGAAACAAAAAAACCACAAAATACCTAACAAGAACCAAAACAAAACAAAACAGCCCGAAAAGAAAAAACAAAAAAATCCAATGAAACAAAACAAAAAAAAACACATGCAAAAAAGGAAAATAGAAAAAAGAAGAAATTATAGCTAAATTACGTATCTTCTTCATAGAAAAATGTGATGCCCACTATCAACAGTGAGAGACACCCCAAGCACTAGTTAAGAAGTTCAGTAGCGGGCACTAATACCAATATATGAATGATTAAACTGTGCCTAGACCCTCCAGCCCCAGAGTCTCCTCATGGAAATGCTAGGGAAGCAGCAGGAGAAAATTCACAACTGATTGATCAATGAATTCACAATCAAATTTTGCGTCCTTGGAAGAAGGACATCAATTGGATGTTTGTGTTTGCATCATTTATACCCCAACAGTAGTGTCAACAGCACTGTCTGGGAAATCTCCACATGAGAAATGCGTAGAACCCTCCCTGAGAACCAGCCAGAAAAAGTCAGGGCTATGAGGTTACAATGATAAAAACAAATAAACAGGTAGGTGGAGTCTGCTGCAATTCACTGGCTTAATCTACAATTAGAAGAACCGAAATTACAAACATGGTATGTATATCAAGATTCATGGGATTTTCATAACTAAAAAATTTTGCATTAAGAGTGAGGATTACTACGAAGAACTTTGGTGGTAGTTAAGGATCTGCAATAAAAAAGGGAAGTGAAAACGATCTGTCAGGCTTTACTAACTGAGAAGTTAATAACAGCAATTAAAAAAGAAACATCTATAGAAACTAGTGTTTCAGTTATGTGGTTTTTTTTTTCCTTTATACACTTTACTTCCTACTTAAAAAACAGAGACCTAATGTATGCAGGAATGCCCAACGGCTGGATAGAAGGAAACCAGAAAAGTCACCTTCCTTGCACAGGTGAGAAGTGAAACAGCAGCCCAGAGCCTGAAAAGATCGGAAGTGGTGAATTCTGTCTGCCCGTGGACTGCAGGCCATTCCGATGAGATGGAACACGTCTGCTGCTGGAGCTGGAACACGGGCTGGAGACAGCATCCAGCTCAGCAAGACGGTGCAGAAGCACAGAACCGAAGCCCCCCGAGATGAGGAGCTGGTACAGAAGCTGGAGTGATGAAGGTGCCAGCAGGGACACCGGGCATCCTACGGGCCCGACTGTCCCCGCGAGGAGCGGGAGGCTCGGGATCCTGTGGGAAACTCCCTGTTCCAGCCCCGCGTTCCCGTTCCTACCCGCACATCTATCAGCTAGATCCTCCTGCAACCACAGCATTCCGGACAAAGCGCACCCCGGCGCCAGCAGCGCCCCGCTCAGGGGTCCTGCCCGACTCCGGGCCGAACCGAACCGGGCCAGGCCCGAGGCCTCGGGGGACGGCCTGGCCTTCGGGCGGAGTGGGACGGTTCCCGCGCAGCTCCCCGGGAGCCCGGAGCGAGCCTGCTCGCCGCCCGCTCAGGGCCGCTCACCGCGCCGGGCCAGGCCGCACCCCGCCGGCGGCCCGGGGAAGCCGGCTCGCTCCCGCGATCCCGACATCGGAGCCCATCTCGCGGTGACCGCGGACCAGCTAGGCTCTCCGGGGCAGCCGCCGGTGGCATCGGTGAAAAGACTGCGAGCACTCACCGAGCCGCCGCCGCCTCTACCGCCCCGCATGGTGCTGGTGCCGCCACGTCAGCGCCGCGCCCGCCCGCGCGGTCCCGGCCGCCGCTCCCGGCCGGCCCCTCCAGCCCCGCTGCGCTGCGGCTGTCGTGGCGCGCCCGGGGCCGAGCAGCGCTAGGAAGCCGCGCGGGCCCGCGGGGCGTCCCAGGCGGCAGTGGGGCCACAACCGGGTCCGGGCGCGTCACGTCGGCGCCACGGCCGCGGCCGCCCCCCGCCCCGGAAGGACAAGTGAGCTCTGGGAATATGGCAGCGGCGGCGGGAGCCGCGGCGGTGGCCGCTGCCCCGGTGTGTGTGCTAGTGCTGGGTATGGCCGGCTCCGGAAAAACCACCTTCGTGCAGGTGAGAGGCTGCGGGAGTCGCGAGGGGCCGCGGGGAGTCGCCGGCTGCCCCCGGCTGCCCCCGTCCCTGTGCCCAGCGGGGCTCCCTGTGCCCAGCGGGGCTCCCTGTGCCCAGCGGGGCTGACGCCTTCCCGTGTCTCCGCAGCGCCTGGCCGCCCACCTGCACGGGCAGCGCTGCCCCCCGTACGTGATCAACCTGGACCCTGCCGTGCACAGCCTGCCCTTCCCCGCCAACATCGGTAAGTGTTGCGCCCGGCGGGACGGCGGGACCGGGCCGGAGGAGCGGCCTGGGGTCCTGCAGGAGGGAGCAGGGCCTTCAACAGAGATCCAGCCGGGTCGCGGAGAGTGCTTTCCATGTGTTCCGCAGGAGCGAATACGTGAGAGAATAGAAGCTGGGCTGCTTGTGTTCCCTTAAAAGAGCCCAAGCTCTAATAAAAAAAGGACTTGGAGACTATTTTTTAAAGTTATAGGTCTTTTCTTCAAACAGTGGTTAATATGACTATTTTTAGAACCAAAGCCATTCATCCAATGCATCTGTACGTTTTTATGTCTTCTGATGTGATTGGTGGTATTTGGGTTCTGGAGGCTTTTTTTCATCAGTAATGAAAGGATTAGCAGATTTGATTTGGTTCCCCACATACAAACATGCTATCAACAAAGAGCTTTAAAGCACTTTAAAAGACACGAATTTTAGAGAAAACATTTTAGCACTAGAACAGATTTAGGTTTAGCTGTTCAAAGAGTGTACCAGTCCCTAGTTTCGTGACAGTCCTGTGTCTTACCCTCCGTGCAGGATGGCAGCCAGCCTTTCCAAAGGATAAGAAAGACAGTGTGGGTACACAAGTTGTTTCGCTGCTGTCAGAGGAATGACTGGAGTGTCTGTTCCAGTGCTGGATCTCTAGTTACACAGACAGATTGGGAGATGTGCTTTGTTAGCTGATGGTGGCCAGATGGGGGTTAGAAAACTGTTTATATGTCTTTCTCCCCTAGATATCAGGGACACTGTGAAGTACAAAGAAGTCATGAAACAGTATCCTTTTTTTGTCTGAATAATGATATTTGAAATTTGAAGTTTTTGAAAATAATCTGTTGCGTGAACACTATGGTGAAGGGGCAGGAAGTAGGTGGGATCGCAGTAATGCAGAGTTTGCATGAAGATCAAGAGGTTTTGATTGTGTATTTCTTGCATGTGATATTAGGAACGTGTGTTCTACAAGATTTGGCACTTAGCTGATCTCCTGTGCTAAAAACGATTTTGCCTAACAGTAAATTTTTACAGCAATAAATAGGTTTTTTTCTGGTCTTTTGTGGTGGGCTTTTTGAGGGGGGGTTGTTTGTTTTGGTTTTGGTTGGTTGGTTTTGTTTTGCCTTTTTTTTTTTAAGCCAGCAGCCTTTTCCCCATGTTTTATCTAGTCTAATTTTATTTGTCATAACCATGACAATGAAAATTCCTACTTGCCTCTAGGCAAGGAATGAAAATTCCTACTTGCCTGTAGTAGATGGAGCTAACTATTTCTCCATTTGGCCATAATCAAAGCTTTGTTGTCTCTCTGAATCTCAGAGACATGGGAGTGTTTGCTCTTGCTCACAGTGTTGCTGACTGTAGTGTAGTAACATTATGCTAAAGTGGCTGCACTTCCTGAGGGCTGTGGAGGTCTTTGGTTGCTTATGTAATAGCTTGTGCAGATGAGGCAATACATAGTCTTTGGTTTTGACTTGCAAGTATGACTCTTAAATTTAATATTTTAGACAAGAATAAAGGTGATGGGTGATGGGGGATTCTTGATTTTGGCTGTTGTTTGATTTGGGGTTACCAGCAGAAAATCCTAAATATAAGTTTCAAATGAATATGTAAGTGCATTATTTGCTTCACTGCATATGTTAGCCATTACTGGAGTTTCTGTGCCTTGTTAATAAGAGCTTGAGGAGGATGTTTGGATATTGAGAGCAGTGATAGAGAAAACAGTGTGTTATGAGTCAGTGCTGGTTCTTGTGCAGTTAAAGCACAAATAGCAAGAAGAAGCCATGTAGCCCCTCTTCCTTCTGCCAATTGCATGTGTTTGGGTAAGAGCGTATTTGTTAGCCTGCTGAATGACTTTATAGACATGTATTAATCATGTATCGGGGCTGTTGTCCCTTGATCTCAAGATATCCAGGGTGCATCTGTAGTCAGAGCTGACAAAGACGACCTCTGGGGTCTGTGTAACCATTTGCTTTCCTAAATGAAGCATCAGATATGGTCTGGGCCCAAACGGCGGAATAGTGACCTCTCTCAATCTCTTTGCTACAAGATTTGACCAGGTACGAGGTGGTTTCTGTGTGCTGTCCCAGGATGTGTGCTGGAGACAGGGGTTTGGTGTGTGTCCAGTCTCAGGGGGCACTGTGTTTGGTTAGCCATCTCGTATTTCTGGGGAGTTATACTCCATGCAGAACTACATATTCTACAATGCTGTCAGAGCACATGAGCTTTCATATGAGGGATTTCAGGCTTTCAGCTTGTTTTAAAGTAAAATGAAGAAGCCACAGATCCGGAACATCCTTCAGTCTTTGTACAGGACTGTTGTTGCAGCGTGTTTCCTATAAAATCTTTCATGTGGATGCTCTGGTTTAGGAGTAGGGAAGCTTACTTCTGGAAACCCATTAAATTTTCCTGTGGCTATTTGATAATTGACAGCCCTCCTAAATCATAGCACTAAATCAGCTCTGGGGTGGAGACTGATGTCAGGTATTGAAGTGATCTGACTTTACTCAGGTACAAATTTCTTTAGCCAGGTACTAGAACACACACAAAATCAAGATTGTCTTTGACCTATGCTGGGTCTGAGCATTTTTCACCCCTCCTCAGTAGGACATGTGCACACTCTGAAAAGCATAAAGGCTTTAACCTTTTGATATTCACCTGCAGCTGTGCAAGTTAATGTAGTTTCTGCTATGAAATGAAGATGAAAGTTTCCTGTTGTGAGCCTAAATACAAAATATACCTCTGCTTTTTCAAACAGGTGATGAAGTTCATTGAAAAAAGACAAAATGCATCCAAGTGAGTACATTCTACTGAGTTGTGCTTTTCTGGGATCACTGTGGGAAAACTGCAAATTTGTAAAAACCTTCTCTGAATGTTTTCTAGCTGTTTTTTTCAGGCTTGGTATAAATTTTATGTGGAAAAGGGCATAGAATGGATAAACTAGATTTTCTTTACCTACATAAAAATAAAGCCTGCTTATTATAGTCCTGCTTTTCTTGTCTTCCATTAGACTATCATTTTCTCTCACACACTGTTCAAATAGGCGCAATTAATTATTTTTCTGAAGATTTTGCACTACTAACTATCTGTCAAATTGATACCTTCAACTCATGAGAGTACATGCTTCTTAGTTACAAAATTCACACAGGAGATTTTCAGGCATGCCCATAAATCTCATTAGTGTTTGGGAGAAGCTTTTCTCATCTATTATAGAATAATCATGTCATTTGCCATTGTATAATCTAGTCAGAACAGGACCTCGTGCTTAACTAATTTTTCCTAATTGTTGTTTTGGGGTAACTTCTTACCAGGTATGTTATTATTGACACACCAGGGCAAATTGAGGTATTTACTTGGTCAGCATCAGGAACCATCATAACTGAGGCCTTGGTAAGTGCTTTTGGCATGACTGGACAGTGAAGCTATGTGAATGAACTGGCTGTTGAGCAGTGAGTTTCTTATCAAACTGTCTCTGACTTGTTGTTCCCAGGCCTCCTCTTTCCCTTCGGTTGTTGTCTATGTGATGGACACCTCTCGCAGTACTAACCCTGTCACTTTTATGTCCAACATGCTCTATGCCTGCAGGTAAGAAAGGCTGTAAATGCAGCCCATCTGCTTCAATTGCTATGTCTCTTTGATAGTTACTTTTGAGGGGAATCATGGAATAGTTTGGGTCTAAAGGGACCTTTAAAGGCTGTTTAGTCCATGCTCTCCTCTGTGGACAGGGACACCTTCCACTAGACCACGTTGGTCCATCCAACCTGGCCTTGGACACTTCCAGGAATGGGGAGCCACAGCTTACCTGTGCAGTGTCCTTCAATATCTCTCTGCTGTCATAATGAAAAAATTTGTCAGCATGTCCCTTTCAACTTAAAACCATTATCCCTTGTCCTGTCACTAGAAACCTTGGTAAAAAGTCACTCTCCATTTTTCTTAGAAACCTCTTTGTATACTGCAAAGCTGCAGTAAAGCTTCCCTGAAGCCTTTTCCAGGCTGAACAATCCCAACTCGCTGTCATGTCTCCATAGGAGAGTGCTCTAATGGTTTACATGGGTCTGTGGGCCCACTTTACCGCTCCAAGTCTTTCTTGTACCATGGTTTCCAGAGCTGGATGCAGTGCTCCAGGTGGGATGAGAACAGAGTGGAAAGGGATACTCACCTTCCTCACCCTGCTGCCCATGCTGCTCTTGGTGCAGCCTGGGGTGTCTCATATCCATTTCATCTACTGGCTTGGTTATTCTCTTAGTGATTTTCTTATTGAAAAAGCAGAATAAATTAGGTATCAATAGACATAGAGAGGTTATTGGTTCAAAACTCCCACTGAAAGCATTAAATAATCCATGAGACCTTGGTGTGGTGAATGCTGGTTACAACAGATTTAACATTGCCTGTTGCTTATAAACTCATTCATCTACGATGTATCAAGATAGTCTAGTTTAAGTTCCTTCTTGTAAACACATAGTTTCTTACTCTGTTTTTCAATGTTACTGAGACTTCAAGAGATTTTTTCAAGATTTGTTTTGGGTTCAGCATAGCAAGAAGTTCTTGATTTATTGTATTCTTCCTCATACATGAATTTATCTCTTTTCTTTCATGTTGAATTAGGGACTAAATACCTATAGAATGATCAGCAGAGCTAGAGCTGTCATAATTCTTGATAAATGTCGGTAAAAGGTTTTCAAAAATCTTTGCAATCCTTGTATCAAGGTCAGGAGCTGTATCACTGTAATAGTGTGCAAAATATGTCTTACTGCATGCTGCATTTTCTGACATTAGTTTGAGTAAAAGTGGTAGCACATATCCAGTGAAATGAGTGTGTGAGCTCTTGTGTTGAGGTAGATTTTCTTTATAGATGTTCTGTGTTATTTGAATTCATTGCTCAGTTCATAATCTCTCAGAACCTGAGGTCTGAGTCAAATGCAAAATGCAAAGGTAGTTAAAAACTGGGATCTGAGAATCATAGAAAATGGTAATCAAAATTAACTGGGTGTGTCAGAGGATTTCTGCCTCACAGATTTGTGTTTACATCTTGGGGAAGCGTATTTTGTTCAACAGTTGTAAGCTGGACTTGGGTGAAAATTACATTTTGATTGCTGCAGAGGAAAATAATTTTCTTTTGATGTCAAATGTATTCAGTTTTGCACAAGTCTTGTCTGCCTTATGCTTAACATGCTTTCTAGTCTAGTGAGTTTTAAATTAATGTTGAACTTTCATTTTGTGTCTCCCTGCCCAGTATCCTGTACAAGACAAAGCTACCTTTCATTGTAGTTATGAACAAAGTAAGTCAAAGCTCTGATTTCCATTTCCTAGTGGGACATTGTTCTGCTCAGCTTCTTTGGTGTGGTGTCTTTGTTTTATCACAATAATGGGTTTTGCTAGAAAAGAGTGACTGGGAGGAAGCTGCAGGCTGACAAACAAATCTAAAAAGGGCACAAGCATAACCAGGGATGGGCAGTTGCACTCAAAAGAGGACACCAGCACTATGAAGCACGTTTGGGACCTTAAGCCTGGGCTCTAGGGACACTTAACCCTGTAAGGTAAGAGGGAGGACACTGGGAAGTCTGCTTTTACACACCCTGTTTCCACATGGCATTTGTCTTTGTTACTGTTTCTACCCAGCAGCAGGCTGATGACCCACAGTGGCAGTGGGGTAACACCTGCATGTTTCCAGGAAGGAGTACAGCATACTTTACCAGGCAAAACTCAGCAGAAGGTGTTTGATCCAGTATTTGCTGGGAGGCAGACTGTAGTCTAGAGATACACATCCACTGCCATGTAATGCACTCGCAGTCTTAAAGGAGTGCTTTTAAGGGCTGTCTCTTCAAACATAATCATTTCAGATATTGAAAGAATCCCGTTAGATTTTTGGTGTGAGTGCTGCTGCCCACAGACATCATTTGTATCCCCAGCATAGCAGGCTGTCTGCACACACACACACACACACACACACACACGCGCACACACACACACACACACACACACACACACACACACACATTTCCCACAGCCATGCCTTTACTGTGCCCTTTTAATGTTAGTGTCTGCTGTGCCCCAGCTCTACCTGTCTGCCCAGTGTCCCAAACCCTGTTTTGACACCTGCTTGCTTACTGAGCAAGGTTTTGTATACTGTTTTCTCTCTAACTCTAGACAGTAATTTTAGAATAAGCTACTTAGTTTTTGTTTTTTTTTTTTTTCAATATAAAAGGGCACGATATAGGAAAATCATTCTCTCTTAAGAAAATACACCTTCTGAAAGACTGAAAGTGGGACTTGAGCGTTAGGAAAGGTAGGCCTGATGCTTAGGATCCGTAACTTCAAACCTCAATTTAATGTTTGCCTTTGCTAAATAGTAAAGGCAACAGCATTTTAAGAATTTTTAGCAAGATGTAATGAAATTTAATTTTTTAAAATTGACTCTTGATAAGAATGGAAGAATACTGGGCAGCTTATAGATGTGCAATGACAAACAGATTTTAGAATTTTAAGATTTGCGGAGGGAAAAAAAAGCAATTTGTAGAGCTGATTTTATTTCATATATAGACTTTGAAGTACTCAGGCTTTGGGCCTTGGTGTATTCGGTTCTGTCCCAAATCTTGTGCATAGTGCTAGGCAACACTTCATCTTTCTCCTTCCCATTGGTGCAGGGAAATGAAACATATCGGAGTTTTAGGCACCTCATATTGTGCTGAGAGTGGATATGCCTGTGGTAAGATGTTGATGATGCATCTGGTTTGATGTTGATGAAACTTTTGAATAGACTGCATATGAATTGATGTAAAGTTGTGGAACCATCTCACCTGTTTGTGTCCATTGCTGTGCACTGAGTTTGGGTTGTAACCTCCTTGGGTCAGAGCACAACTGATGCTTACAGAGACCCCATCCTTGGGCTGCTGCCCAGCGTGGAAGTGGCTCCTGCTCCCCCAGCTCCCAGGCAATCAGGAAAGCTTAGGATTTCAGTGGGGGCAGCTCTTGCCTGGCCTCAATCATGCAATCTGCTATTTACACTGTAAACTTTATTGTACAGTGTGCAGTGTTTGAATGCTTCTTTGCAGTAAGGTGTAGAAGGCTTTAGAACTGTGATTGTTCCTTTAAACAGTCAGTGCCTTCTTAAACCTGAGCAGTTGTTTGTCTTCTTTCCAGGTATTCGTGTAGTTGATTTGATAAAAACAGAACTTGCAAAACTTCAGACCAGGGCTCAGTATTTTGACAATATTTACATTTTGAAAATAAGCTTAACATTGATTTTTTTTTTTTTTAATTTTTCCACTTAACAGCCTATGGCTAAGATTATTACTACTGAATATTTTCCCTTTTCCTTCCAGACTGACATAATCGACCACAGTTTCGCAGTGGAATGGATGCAGGACTTTGAGACTTTTCAGGATGCCCTGAATCAAGAGACCTCCTATGTCAGTAACCTGACTCGTTCCATGAGTTTAGTGTTGGATGAATTTTACAGTTCACTGAAGGTAAGAATCTTGTTTTTGTTTATTACCTCTCATGAAAGCCTAGAGAAGACAAAGCTCAAGAGTAATGTTTCTGATTTAGGGTGGGAGTAGAATGTAAGGAAGGCAAAAGGCAGACTGTTCACTGGTGCTCAGGGAAAGGAAAAGAGGCAATAGACACAAAGTGAAATACAGGAAACTATGTTTAAGCAGAAGAGGAAAAAAAAAACTTCATTTTTATTGATTGAGCACTGGAACAGAGTCCAGAGAAATTTTGAAGTCTCCACCCTTGGAGACAGACCAAGTAGTGAGCAACCTGTTCTAGTTAATTCTGTTTTTTGGGCAGAGAAGTTGGACTAGATGATCTCCAGAGGTATCACCCAATCCTAACCATTCTGTCCTTCTGTAAAGGGTCTTTGCACTGCCCTTTTGAACTGTAGTCTGTTGATGAGCCATGTTGAGGATTTGCTAATTTGAACACAGTAACTTCAGTAACTTGACACGCTGAGTGGCAGCCCTGAATAATTCAATATTGTGATTATTCATGAGAAGAAAGCGAAGATAGGCTGGTGAGAGGCAGCATTTCCTGTCTGAGGTAATTTTCAGAAAGTGTCTAGTACAGTTATGCAATTTAGTACACAGGAAGAATGGAAAGAATCTCAAACCCAAACAAACACCCTCTCCCCCTTGCCCCCCCATATTTGCTTGGGCAAGAAGAAGTTGGGGTTTTTTTCTCACTTAACCAGGTTTAGAGAAGACAAAGTAATCCAGTTCCTCAGGAAACCCTGTGCATCAGAGGCTGTTACTGTTCCCATAGTCTGTGCAAAAGGTTTCAGCTAATTGTGTTTGTCATTATCTTTTACTAAAGAAAAAGCAAGCTTTTTTGGCTTTATGGGTATTAAAAGAAAGATAATGAAAATAAGTGATTCCATTCAGATAGATGTAATGTACGTGTTCTATGTGGAACAATATTCAGAATTTCAGAAGGGATTGTAGTGGTGCCATGTACAGAACTAAAGTACTTCCTGTTTCTTATTTGTTAATTAGGTCATATTTCTGTGCATGTCAGAATACTGAACTGGAGAGCAGGTCATATGATGATTGTAGCATAGACTGCAGCTTGTACTTCAATGCAAGGAAAGTATAAATATTGATATATGTCAGCGTATAGTAGTACTTAAAATCCTTTGGAGAGCTGTCTCATGTTTGCTGTATTAATGACCAAGTGCAAGGCTGTATTGCAAAAAGTCTTCCATTTGTTAGTGAGTAGTTGAGACTGTCTAGCTTTCAAGAAAGAGGTAGAATTTTTGTTAGAAGATTAAGTATTTTTAGGTAATTGATTTAACAGAGACAGAACAAATGGCCAGAGGTGTAATGATAGACAAGTCCAAGTTAGGAAGGAGCTGTGCGTGTTGAATGTATTGCTGCAGTAACTGATTGAATTGTCCACCACCTGCTGTTCTGGGGTTGGACGTTGGACTGCATGGCCAAGTGTGATGTGGCTAAATACAAAGTATTAGATGTAATTTCAGAGCCAGAAGGTCAGGTGTTGTATATTTTGCTGTCTAATTCTAGTACACATACATACTAACTACTTATAACTCTAGGTGCAGATTGGATTATTAACAGTAAACAAGTAAGTGACAGAAAGACCTGACTTTCTCTTGAAATGCTGAACTCTTTAAATAAACCAAACCCCCTTCCAAAAAGAAACACCCCCTGAAAATACTACAACAACTCACCAAACAGAAAACCAGCAGCACCCAAAAACAGGGGTAACAAACATGAACACCAAGTGGACAAAGAGTTTGAAAGCAGGATGGATACAAGCAGAAGTGGTACTGCACATTCTTGTGCCACTGTGCTGTCATTAGATTTAGACTAGTAATTATTTGTTAGTTTTTTCCGTTTTTTTGTTAGAGACTGGTTCAGTTACTCTGCAGTTGTAGTGTGTGGTTTGTTTTGCAGGTGGTTGGTGTTTCTGCGGTGCTCGGCACAGGACTGGATGAGTTTTTTATCCAGCTTTCTAAAGCTGTAGATGAGTACGAGAGGTAAGGCGACAGTCAGCCCAGTGAACACTTCCTGAAGGTACTGATTTGTAGCTCCTTTGATTTGAAGGATTCTACACCTTCTTTAGCCTAGGTAGTTTAGGGTTTCTAATAAACTTCAAGCATCAGCATAAAAGGTGGCAGTGTAAAGGAATTATTCAGAGGTGAATTTTTGTGTTCGTTGCTCAGTGAAAAAGCAAAAGCTATCTGTGCCATTAACTATGTGAAGGAATATTTTTTCTGTAATTCTGTATAGCAGTCAAGGTCTGAACTCTTGCTGTTTCAATTAAGTATGTTCACTTATTTTGCATCCATTGGTTTCACAATCCAAATCTGGGTAAAAAGTACTGTTAGTCCTTCTGCAATGTCTCTCAAACATGAAAGCCTTGAGAAAACTTTTTATGGGGTAGAAGGAAGCCTCTGAGATGATCCTTACTTAATATAAATCATGTGTTGATTCAGACTGAATGCACTCTTATCTTTTCAGAGAGTATCGTCCAGAATATGAACGCCTGAGAAAAACACTAGTAAGTGGTTTTGGCTGTTGTACACGTGTATAGTGTATATTGAAGTTGCTTTTATGCACACAATTGCCTTTATGTTGAGAGGGTCTAATGTTTTATTTACTAGTCACACTCAGTGTGGGAAAACTCCTGTCCTGAACAAATCTGCTATCTGCTTTTTTTTCCCTAGATGTAGCGGAGCATATCATTACAAGAATAAAGATGTTTTATGAAACATATATTGTTTGCTGCATTAGTGCTAGTATTTCAGCTAATTGTGAGAAAATGGTTGGGAAATAGTTTTGTATCTTCCATTCAGAAGGATAGAGATTTCTTGAAAATAAATTCTCGAGTGTTTTGTCGAAGGTATCTTTGTATCTTCCTGTACCAGTGAAGTATACTGGTTTGACTTAAACAGTAACAGAGACTCATTTGCAGTACCAAAATCAGTAGCTCTGCTCACCTTGAGTCCTGGCTGTCCAAAAGACAGTTCTCTGCAGGCACTGAGTTTGGCTTCCTGATGCTTCTGAAAATGTTCTAGAAGTCTGCTGGAGGTTGCTGTCTGTGTTTGGTCAAAAGCTCTGTGTAACCTTAGTTACACAGAGATCTGCTGAGTGACTTGCACTCTGGTGGGGGGACAGACTGTTGGGTTTGGGTGAGGTTATTTTCTACTAATATTTAAAATGTTCTCAGAATCCACATGTAACTCTATCTACAGGAGGAAGCTCAAGAGAAACAGAAGAGAGAGCAGCTGGAACACTTGTGGAAGGACATGGGCAGTGTGTGTGTGCAGGGCAGCACACTGGCAGGTATCTCACCAGGAAGATCAAATTCACTGCAGAAGTTTTATGAAGAGTTTGTGTTGAGAAGTGCTTCTCTGTTCCCACAGCAAAAGTGTGAAAGCAGCTCCATGTTAGAGGAGTGGGGCTTTAGTTCCTGTGGGATTGGCCACACTTAGCTCTTCCTCTGTCTGTCATAGACGTGCAGGAAACCCTGCTGTGCAGCTAAAGCAGCAGACATAGTAAAAATAATGAGGTACTTTAGAAAAGGTGAAACATATTAGGATATAGGAGAGCTGTGCTGTTGGCTGCACTGTTCCTTAGAAGTATGTGCTGATAAAAGTCTGTCTTGTGTCTTTGGGATCCACTTCTGTCCTTTCAGAGCAGGTGTTAATTGTTGTGTTTGTGTGCAGATAAAAGTTAACAGTGTTGACACTGTTGTTACACAACAGTGTTTGTGTAACACTGTTGTGTAACAGTGTTACACAAACCTGCAAGCTGGTTTGTGTACAGCTATTTCTTTCCCTTCAAGGACTTGATGATGCTTCTGCAATGGGTCCCTCTGAGCTAATCCTTACACGAGGAACTCTCAATGAAGAGGAAGAGAGAGAGAGTGATACTGACGACATTGACCATGAAGGTAAGGGAATGAGGCCATCTAGTTAGGAAATCCCCTCTGTATCTTATTACCTGTGTGGACTGTAAAGAGAGCCTAGAAAACAAGCAAACAGTCACCTAAATACATGTGTCAGAATCCATAGCAGAAGCCCAGCTGCAATGTTGGGTCAGTGCTATCACTCTCTGACCTCTGTGAGAGTTCAATTGTAAGTTTTCTATACAAGTAATTCATAGGTGTATTACGCACATAAAGCAGGGAACTCGTTAGGCTTGAGGCACGCAGTGACCTCTGAACCTGATTGATGCCCAGCTGTTTTATCATCTCTTTGACCTTACAGTTTCTGCTGCTGGCTGTGGCGTTTGCTGTGACTATGGTCTTAAAGCAGTCTTCTAAGTTCTTAGAGAGTGATTTTTTTCTTCTATAGCTCACAGACTTAATCTTCATTCTTTTCCTGTTCCATTGGTGTTTCAGATCACTTCTTTGCTTTGCCCTGTAATGTTATGTTGTTCTGACTATCCTGACTCTAGCTTTTGTCAGTAACAGAAGTAGAATAGTGCTGAACTGTTGTTTCTTCCCCCAGTGACTGAGGAGAGTCATGAAGAACCAGCCTTCAGAAACTTCATGCAAGACGTGCGGATGAAATGCCAGAGAAAAAGCAACCTGAATGAATGAGACCTTCACAAACAGAACGTTTGGAAGGAACAGCATAAAGAAACTTGCATGAAACCATGCGTGAAGACTTTTATTTGGGAACTGCTTCCTCTGATAGATTTTTATTTCTCTTTTTGAGAAACTGTTGGTCATGTGAGTTAAAGATCTTGGAGCCAACTGACTGCACAGTTCATCATCTGCTGCTGTGGCTTCCTGAAGCTGAGGGAATCAGATAGCAGTTTCTTTTCCTCCAGATTCTTCAGATCTATCTGTTGAGAGCTTAGATTTTGAGCATCATTAATATCTGCAGCACTAACTGGTCCCCAGAAACGTGTTTGTTTGCTTGTGCAGCCAGGGCACAAGTGATGCTGTACTGAACTTTATCAATCTACTTTGATGGTTTGGTTTGTATTAAATATATTTTATGTACTAACAAATGTGTGATAATAATGGAAGGAAATTTCATTTTAAGCACTATTCTAAAGTGAGATTTTCCCCTGTGCTTGCAACCCATCTGTATGGATGTGCAGCAAATGCATCTTAATTACATTATACAGACATGGTACAGATGCCTTCCAGGAAAATGCTGAGCAAAGAAAGTTCCCAAGAGGGAAAGTAATAAAAAGTCTCTAGCTTGATTTGGCTGAGAACAGAAATGCACATGGTTATATACTGGCTGCATATATCCCTAGTTACTTAAAGCAGAAGCATTTCCATAGATGAGTGTTTACCTGGAATACAGACAAGCACTTAGAGACTGGCTAATACTTATTTTCGTGGTAGGCACCACAGACACAGATGTTCACTTGCAGTTCAGCAGTCTGGACCCTGAACCTTTGGGTTTTTCTCCTCCACAGAAAGGGGTGGCCTCACTGGGTAGGTCTTCAAGTGGAAGTTTGGCACAGGTTAGCTAGCACCAATCCCAAATTGCTA